GGGGGCCGGCTTGGAGCTCTCTTGGGCCGTCTTGGAGCGGTTTTGGGCCGTCTTGGAGCGGTTTTGGGTGCCTCGCGGGCGTTCGCCCACGCCGCGACGGCCGAAAAGGCGCGTATGCGAAAAATGTATGACCCGCATAGGAATTCAATGATTTCGGCTTGGGGGCTTCCTGGGAAGCTTCGTGGAGGCCTCTCGGGGGGTCTTCGCGGTTTCCTGGTCGTCTTGGATCGATCATTCGACGACTTGGGGGTGTCTTGGGAGGCTTGGCGAGTTGTCTTGGAGCTCCAGGCGAAGCCTGCGGGGCCCGGACCCCCCCTGAAGAGTTCGGGGGTGGGTCGGATCCGACGAAGGGGGGGGTCGAATTGCCGGTTTGGGGTCCCGCGGGGGATGGCACATCGCAGTTCAGCACGGCGCAGCACAGCACAGCCTTCGGCACGGTACATCAATATCGATACACTCAACCTTGCAATTTGGCATGTTCTTTGGCACGTTCCGTGGCGCGTCCCGTGGCGAGTCCCCCTGGCACGTTACGCGGCGCGTCCCCTGGCACGTCCCGTGGCACGTCCATTGGCACGTTCCGTAGCGCGTCCCCTCGGCACGTTCCGCGGTGCGCCCCCATGGCAGGTTCCTTGGCACGTCGCCTGGCGCGTCCCTTGGGACGTTCCGCAGCGCGTCCTCCTGGCATGTCCCCCTTGTCAATCAGCTCTGGGGCAGCTACTAGTGATGTGCTTAGGCAGCTCGAGCTTAAGATCCAGAACAGTTCGGTCAGGACTCGGATGCAAAGGAGGACTCGATCCACAACGTTATAGAGCACACTCGCGGCATGGCGCATCGCAGTTCAGCACGGCGCTGCACAGCACACCCTTTGGCACGGTACATCAAGATCGATACACTCAGCATTGCAATGTTGCGCGTTCTTTGGCACGTTCCGTGGCACGTCGCGCGGCGAGTCCCCCTGGCACGTCCCGTGGCACGTCCATTGGCTCGTTCCGTAGCGCGTCTTCTCGACACGTCCCGCGGTGAATCCACGTGGCACGTCCCTTGGCACGTCGCTTGGCGCGTCCCTTGGGACTTTCCGCGGCGCGTCATCCTGACATGCCCCCCCTGTCAATCAGCTCTGGGGCAGCTACTAGTTATGTGCTCAGGCAGCTCGAGCTTACGATCCAGACCAGTTCGGTCAGGACTCGGATGCAAAGGAGGACTCGATCCACAACGCTATAGAGCACAATCGTGGCACGGCACATGCAATTCAGCACGCGTCAGCACTGCACACCTTTCGGCACGGTACATCAAGATCGATACTTCTGTCGCAGCCGCAGGCGAGCGCGCCAGCGGCGTCAAGGGACGGGCGGGCTACGCGCCAACCTAATTGCCTAACGCGCCGAGTTACCGGTGGCGTAAGCAGCACCTAAGCTGACCGGACAGCGCGAGGTGGTGCGGGCTGCTGCTGCCAGGAACCAGGTTCAGGAGCGAGCGCATGCATAATTAGCCAACCAGGGTTGGAGCGCAGCCAACATGGCGCGGGAACCAATATCGATACATTCAGCCTTGCAATTTTGCACGTTCTTTGGCACGTTCCGTGGCACGTCGCGCGGCGAGTCCCCCTGGCACGTCCCGTGGCACGTCCATTGGCACGTTCCGTAGCGCGTCCCCTCGGCACGTCCCGCGGTGCGTCCCCGTGGCACGTCTTTTGGCACGTCGCCTGGCGCGTCCCTTGGGACGTTCCGCGGCGCGGCCTCCTGGCATGTCCCCCAGTCAATCAGCTCTGGGGCAGCTACTTGTTATGTGCTCAGGCAGCTCGAGCTTAAGATCCAGAACAGTTCGGTCAGGACTCGGATGCAACGGAGGACTCGATCCACAACGCTATGGAGCACACTCTCGGCACGGCACGTCGCAGTTCAGCACGGCGCTGCACAGCACGGCCCTCGGCACGGTTCATCAAGATCGATACCGTCAGCATTGCAACGTTGCCCGTCGCCCTTTCGGGTGTCTTTGAAACGTCGCCACGCCTTGCCCAGGAGCGTTCGGATTCTCGATCGGGGGCCTATCGCAGATCTATCGCCATGCCTTGCATTTCTGTATTCCTCTCCGGGTTCGTGGGCCGATCGTGTTTCAGAGCCTTCTCTCCCACCGGGCCCCCGCGCGTGCCCCACCCGAGGGGGCGCGTGCCGCGCGGCCGCCGCCGCGAGGGGCACTGCCTTCACTTGCCGTGTCGTGCTCGTGCTGCCGAAAAGGAGAAAAGTGCAGAGGGAATGAGAGAGGGAGAGAGACGAACAAAGACAAATCGAAGGAGATAATGTGAGAGAGAGGGGGAAAGAGGGAGGAGAGAGAGAGAGAGAGCGAGAGAGACGAGAAAATCTAAGAGAAAGGGAAGGAGAGACAGCATGGAAAAAGGGAGATATTGACAAAGACAGCGAGAGAGAGAGAGAGAAAACAAAAAAAAAGAGAGAGAGAGAGAGAGAGGGAGAGAGGGAGAGCAGACGGCTCTCGCGAGATGCCTTGGAAAGGGGGGGGATAGAGGCGAGGTTGGGATCGGCACGGGGCTGGGGAAGGGGAGAAATATGTGGATGAGGAGAGGAGGGATGGGGATGGAGGGTGGGAGGGGGTGGAGTGGGTGATGGGAATGAGGACAGTTGAGGTCGCACTGCGCACCGTGGAAGTGTGCTGGCGACATAGATTCGACCTGGCACCCTCGAAGGTTGGGCGGGACTCTTGCCTCTTGCGTCTCTCCTTGTCTCCTCCTCCACCTCCTCCTTCCCCTCCTCCTCCTCGGCAGATACAAATTCAGGCGTGCGCATTCAATGTAGCAACATGGTTACCTAGAAGACGAAATTATGACAGGGGGTCAATTAAGGTTTTGACATCACCAGCCCGAGCCAAGTTTTACATCAGACGTCTTGAAGGGCTTGAGTGCAGCTGCTGGTCCTCCTCCTCCTCCCCTTCCTCCTCCTCCTCCTGCTCATCTCGCTTCCCAGATCCCTGGGCGGCGTCGACGCCACTCCATCCAGGCACCGCTCGGGGACAGGGGAGCCCACGAACGTGGCGACAGTTGCGCAGTTGCGCAGTTCGCAGGGAGCTGCGAGGTCTCGGCCGAGTCCGCGTACTCCCCTACTCCGCCGTGCCTCCCAGGAGCCCACGAACATGGCGACAAACAGTTGCGCAGTTCGCAGCCCCGCCAGAGAGCTGCGAGGTCTCGGCTGGGTCCGCGTACTCCCTACTCCGCCGTGCCTCCCAGGAACCCACAAAAGTGGCGATTGTTACGCAGCTCGCAGCCCCCAAGGGAGCTGCGAGGTCTCGGCTGGGTCTGCGTGTGCTCCCCTACTCCGCCGGGCCCCCAGGAGCCCACGAAAGTGGCGACAGTTGCGCAGTTCGCAGCCCAGGGAGTTGCACGGTCTTGGCTGGGTCGCGTACTCACCTACTCCGTCGTCCCACCCGGGAAACCACAAAAGAAGCGATTGTTGCGCAGCTCGCAGCCCCCAAGGGAGCTGCGAGGTCTCGGCTGGGTCTGCGTGTACTCCCCTACTCCGCCGGGCCCCCCAGGAGCCCGCGAAAGTGGCGACAGTTGCGCAGGTCGAATCCCCCCAGGTAGCTGCGAGGAGCAGCGAGGTCTCGGTTGGGTCCGCGCGTTCCCGTACTCGAACGTGCTTCCCAGGAGCTTACGAACGTGGCGACCGTGGCGCAATTCGCAGCCACCCAGGGAGCGGCGCGGCGCAGAGAGAGCAATGGAGACGGGAGGAGGACGAGAGAAGGTGGAGACCACGGCGCTGTGTTCAAAACAAGACCCGGCACAGGAGGAATGGAAAACAGTTTGCTGTTGGTTAGTGGTGGTGGTGATGATGATGATGGTGATGATGATGATGACGATGATGATGACGATGACGACGACGATGACGATGCCGATGATGATGATGATGATGCTGATGGTGATGATGACGATGACGATGACGATGACGATGATGATCATGATCATGATCATGATCATGATCATGACCATGACCATGATTGATGATTGATGATTGATGATTGATGATTGATGATGATGATGATGATGATGATGATGATGATGATGATGATGATGATGATGATGATGATGATGATGATGATGATGATGATGATGATGATGATGATGATGATGATGATGATGTTGTTGTTGTTGTTGTTGTTGTTGTTGTTGTTGTTGTTGTTGTTGTTGTTGTTGTTGTTGTGTTGTTGTTGGTGTTGGTGTTGGTGTTGGTGTTGGTGTTGGTGTTGGTGTTGGTGTTGTTGTTGTTGTTGGTGTTGTTGTCGTCGTCGTCGTTGTTGTTGTTGTTGATGATGATGATGATGATGATGATGCCTGGCCCGAGTCCTCTCATTTCGACGATGACATAGCTAATTATCTCGTTGGAGTCTGTACATCCCTGCCCAGGGGCCGTTCAGCCGAAGGGCCTGCGGAGGTTGTTTTTAAGGAAGGCCGCGTCGAGGAAGAAATGTTGCCCCGCATCAGATGATGAATAGTCGTCAACGCGTCGCCATGGTGATGCAAACATGGCGTTTCCGCCAACATCAGAATGGAAGCAAGCACGTGACTGATGCCGAGGGAAGTTTAGGTTGCTGCACGCGCCGCGAAGAAGGCAGCGTCGAGGAAGCGGGGCGATGCCTAGTGAGGTGTGACAGAAGTCTAAGGTCAAGTGCGTAGTGATCGCAGTTGCTCGCGCAAGTTGCCCGTGCATCTGTGCGAGTTGAGGATGCGGCGACGGCAGCGACGTTTCTCTGGCCTCGCGAGAGCGCAGTTCCCGCATCCCCCTGGCCGCTCCTGAAGGGGGCGCAGGGGCTTCGGTAGCCACTGTGTCTCGCCATCGCGGTTGCCACCACACTTTGGCTCACGCGTGGTGCATTCCGTCCAGGTCGCCGTGCGAGTTGCCCAATTTTTTCCCCTCGCCGCATCGGAAAGGGAGGAAGGCCTCGGGAGTCGCTGGTCGTCGCCCCCCCTGTCGCCTCCACGTCTCGGCTCGCGCCAGCTTCTGCCTATCCGGGTCGCCCAGTCCTGCCGCCATGGCCCCGTGAAGCGGGCGATGCAGAGCGACCGTGCGGGCGGCCAGCCGTCGGCCCAGGTCGCCTCTGTGCATTACAGTGCTCCTGTCGTGAGATCTCGTGCCGTCTGCGGGGGGCCCCGCCTCCGTGACAGCGGGGCCCGCGCAGCGGGAACGAGGTCGGGCGTAAGGTTTGCTCTGGTGGGGTGCCCCATTTGATGCCGCAGGATGCCTGAACTGGCACGGGTCTTAAGCTCTGCCTCCCTCTTCTTTGCCCCTCCGCAGTGCGACGGACAGCGGCAGGACGAAGAAGAGGAGACGGATGGGGGCTCAAATACCCGTTCCAGTTCGGCGCCTTGTTTGATCTCGTGCGGGTCTTGAACACCTTGCCTTGTCCGCAGGTTCGCCTCTGCAACTTCCTGACAATGTTTACTCTTGAATTATCTCTCTTCTCTTCCTTCACCCCCATGAGGCCTGATCTGACGTGGGTTTCAATCACGACCTCTTTTGCGTCCTTCCTCCGCATATTTTCTGCCTCCCCTTCTGCGAGAAATCGGCATCCGGCAGATGAGGAAGATCATGGCGGCAAGAGGAAGTCGAGGATGTTGAAACTGAGACCTCCTCCTGTTGGAAGCGAACCACTCAGGAGGAGGTTGAGTTCAAAAACCGTTTCAGTTCAATCCGCGCGGGTTTCTCTTTCAGGTTTTCTTCGGGCGGTTCGCCCGTCGGGGTCTTAGGGACGTTTTGGGGCGCCACGGTGCCGCCTCGTGGGGACATCGTGAGGGTGTCTTGGGACCTCTGGATGCCTCTTGGGGACATGCCGTGGGTGTCGTGGGTTTGGGGAGGAGCAACTTTAAAGGGACATGCTCCCAAGCCCAGTGCATTGTTTCCCCCCCTCCTCTCGGGTCCCTCTTTGGGCCTTCTTGGGGATTTGGGGGCCGTTTCGGGGTGCCTCTTGGCCCGTCTTGAGCGCCTTCTCGGCCGTCGTGGGGCGGTCTTGCGGGCCTCTTGGGTTCCTTGAGGATTCGGAAGCAAGGATACGACAATCTGCCAACAACTTCAGGCCCAGCGTCCTCTAGGAACCCTCTTTGGGCGTCTTGGGAGCCTCTTGTGCCATCTTGAGGCTGTATTGGGCCAGTCTTGGGCCGTTTGGGGGGTCCTTTGGTCGTAATTGGATCGTCTTAGGGCGTCGTGGTGTTGTTTCGTGGCGGCGCGTAGTTGTCTTGAAGCCGTCCAGAAGCTAAACAGGGCGCCGAAAAGCAAGCTCGAGGGGGACGGGGGTCAAGGCGGTCGCGAGTGGGGGGGAGGGTGTCAGCCTTGGAAAGCGAGGGAAACAAACCACCAGACATCTGACAATGCTGACAATGCTGAGACTGCTGATGCTGATGCTGATGATGCTGATGACGATGTTGATGATGCTGATGATGATGGTGATGATGATGATGAGGAGGAGGAGAAACAGTGTAAACCCAAGACTCATCAACGATGTTGGAAGGAACCCTCCCTCCAAGCTCCCTCTTCATTGGCCCGTGAAAGGCGTCATTTCCACTTCGGAATCTGCCTCGTTGGGAGACAACCGTTTGAAGACCCTGAAGCGTGCCAAGGCACCATTTTCGGGACTCCAACTCCAAGAATCAACATAAGCGTTGCGTCTTGACGATCTGGAGACGTGCCAAAACACCGTTCGGGTGACTTCATCACCGCGAATTCGCGTAACTGTTGCGCCCTCACAATCCTGAGTCCTTCCAAACACCATTTCTGTCACGTTGACCATGAGCGTCCGCAAATCATTTTTGTTAAACGAGTGAGCGCGGTGCCAAGGCGAGAGCCACATAAATGAAAGGAACCGCCCTCAACCCGTGAAACTCTTGCAACTTGTCCAAACGAGTGTGCGCGGCGCTAAGGCGAGAGCCACATTTGAAAACGGCCCGCCCTCAATCTGGGAAGCTCTTGCAAAGCGAATGGGCGCGACGCTAAGGCGAAAGCCACAGTGTGAAAGCTGCCCGCCATCGATCCGTGAGTCTCTTCCAAATGTTTGGGGAGACGAATGTGCACGGCGCTGAGGCGAGAGCCACAGTTTGAAAATCGCCCGCCCTCCAACTGTGAAGTTGTGACCAATGTTTGAACCTCTGGATCATTAGTGATGACGAAGTCTCAGGCGAAACGCCCAGCCCGCCAGTTCGACCGGCCTCGGGGTGCGACAGGGAGGACTTCTTGATCAGGAAACGGACTGGATGAGGGCGGGCAGAAGCGCCAGAGGTCTCTCGGAGGCCACTTTGGGCGTCCTGGGGGCTTTCTGCGGTCCTGGGAGCTTCTTCGGGTGTGGGGTCCTTAACAGGGTTTCTTGGGAGCTGCTTGGGGGCCTCTTGGGGGCGCCTTGGGGGCTTCTTGGGGCCGCTCGGACGCCTGGTAGGGCAATTCTGGAGCCCTCCGTGGGCCCTGTTGGGAGCCTTCGGGGCCTTCTTGGAAACATCTTGGAGTATACCGATCAGCGAGGGGGTGGCCCGCCATCAGCCTCGCCACGGGAGCTCCCAAAGTCCTGGCATCGCTCGGACGTGTGCATTTTTCCTTCGGCGAGGACCATCGAGGAGCATCCTTGATCACTTGGCGAAAAAACCACGCACGAAACCGACAAAAACACACAGGGAATAGACGTCCGAGCGATGGCCAGAAGTCACCCCTCTCGGTGCCCTCTCGGAGCGCTCTCGGGGCGCTCCTGGGGCCGTCACCAATGGGCCCCGGGTCGGCCCTGGCCGCCCCGACCCGCGAGGAGGAGGAGGAGGAGGAGGAGGAGGAGGAGGAGGAGGAGGAGGAGGAGGAGGAGGAGGAGGAGGAGGAGGAGGAGGAGGAGGAGGAGGAGGAGGAGGAGGAGAGGAGGAGGAGGAGGAGGAGCTGCCTGGCCCTGGCCCGCGGTGCTCCGAGCCCGCCCCCGCGCACATCACACGCCGCCCCTGCGGCCCCACGGGCCGCGCGCCCTCCGCCTGCCCGGCCAGGCAGCACGCAGGCCGGCCCCGGCCCTGGCTCCGATTCCAGGGCCCCCCCCCTCGGGAATGGGTCGAGACCTCTAGGGCGACGACATCTATACATATCCACTGCTCCCGGCCAGGCCAATCCTGGGCCCAAGAGCGGTGTATATGCCCTCCTGGCTTGGCCAGGGAGGCATATACACCGCTCCTGGGCCCAGGATGGGCCTAGCCAGGAGCAGTGGATATGCATAGATCTCGTCGCCCTAACCTCGGGGGGTCGACGTCATGAAAAAATCATGACGTCGGGGGTCTGGGATTCCAGGGCCCCCCCCCCCCCCCTCCCCGAGAGCGGGACGCAGGGCCCCCCCGTCCCCCCCCCCCCCCCCAGTCGCAGACGGGGCCTCGGCCTCCCCCGCGCTCCTCCCTCCCGAGCGGAGCCGGGCCCCCGAGAGCACGGGCACGGCCCCCCCCGCTCCCCCCCCCCCCCCCCCCCCGCTGCAGAGCGAAGCCAGCCAGGGACCCCCCGGCGGAAAGCTGCGGGACAGGGCCCCCTCCCCTGTCGACGCGGAACAGAACGTGACATAATAAGCATAAGAGCCCGAAGGTTCGCGCGGGTTTCTCGGATCGGCGCGCCAGGGGCGGCGCCGGAGGCTCCGCCGAGGGGCCCCAGCGCCGATCCGAGAAATCCGCGCGGACCTTCGAGTTTTTATGTTTGTCATTTTCCCGGAAAGGGCGTGGGCCCAGGGTTCTATTTTAGTATGTAAACATAGTCCCCCGTGCCCAACTTGAAGGAGGCCGGCGGATTCTTTCCCTGATAAATATCGAAGTCGAAGGAGGCCGGCGGATTAAACATTGAGGATGTCTCAGGCGAAACGCTTGTTTTTGAAATCCCGATCGATAAATCACAGGGTGCGGGCCGCCTCAGCACGACCACACCCCAGCACGACCATGCCCCAGCACGACCACACCCCAGCACGACCCCGCCCCAGCACGACCCCACCCCAGCACGACCACGCCCCAGCACGACCACACCCCAGCACGACCACACCCCAGCACGACCACACCCCAGCACGACCCGATCGATAAATCACAGGGTGCGACCACCCCAGCACGACCACACCCCAGCACCACCACACCCCAGCACGACTCCACCCCAGCACGACCACGCCCCAGCACGACCGCACCCCAGCACGACCACACCCCAGCACGACCCCACCCTAGCACGACCCCACCCCAGCACGACCCCACCCTAGCACGACCACACCCCAGCACGACCACCCCCCAGCACGACCCCACCCCAGCACGACCCCACCCCAGCACGACCATACCCCAGCACGACCACACCCCAGCACGACCCGACCCCAGCACGACCCTACCCCAGCAAGACCACACCCCAGCACGACCACACCCCAGCACGACCTCACCACAGCACGACCACACCCCACCACGCACGACCACGCCCCAGCACGACCACGCCCCAGCACGACCACGCCCCAGCACCACGACCACCCCCCCAGCACGACCACCCCCCAGCACGACCACCCCCCAGCACGACCACACCCCAGCACGACCACTCCCCAGCACGACCACACCCCAGCACGACCACACCCCAGCACGACCACACCCAGTCGCACCCCCGTGGAATGTTTCATGGGGTGTCTGGTTGAGTGGTTGCCTGTTCGTGGGGTGTCTCGTGGAATGTTTCACGGGGTGTCTCGTGGAATGTTTCGTGAGGTGTCTCGTGGAATGTTTCGTGAGGTGTCTCGTGGGATGTTTCGCGGGGTGTCTCGTGGGATGTTTCGTGAGGTGTCGCCCAGGTGGGTATCGTGAAAACGTGACCATGCTGCACATGTCTATATCCCTGTCCGGGTTCGTGGGTCCATCATGTTTTGTTCCCCAACTTTCGACGGGGAAGCCAGCCCCCCACCACCGAACGCGGAAGGCCCCCCCCCCTCCAGATCGATGTTCAAGCTAGTGTGAAGTCAGGCCTGCCCACCTACAGGGGGATTTTCGACGAAAAATAAAAGATCCCCCAAAATACCCCAAAAATAATAAAAACATAGTCTGGGGACTATTGCTTGAGTATTATTTGGCATTTTTTGAATATTTTTGGGTACTTTCTTAATTTGTCATCGAAAATCCCCCTGTGGGGGGACACGCCCGACATAGAGCTAGTGCAAGCCCACGCAAGTTTAACCTCACACCCCGGATCGGCGGACTGCACACGTGTTGTACACATACAGTGCGCAGATCTCACCGGGCAAGTCGGCTCAGGTCGTCGTGTCCCTCCTGTTCCAGTTGGGCCACGATGGAGACATGCAGCGCCTTCGGAGCGCTCTGACCTTCAACGCGAAGGCCTCCCTGCTGCACATCTTCGCGGTCATCTCGGGGCAGCGCGGCGCGCGGGCCTTGTGGCCGCGAAGTTTCGCGGAGATCCCCGCGGACGCCGCGGTCGCGTGCTTCTTCTGCCTCCGCGACGGCGCGGAGGACCCAGGCACAGAAAACAACCAGAACCACAACTAGGTGGATTTTTCTGGAGGGCTCCTCGGTGAAGAACCCACCGACCTCTACATGAGCACGCTGTTTGTGGTTGTGTTTGATCGGGCACTTCTGGGACGCCACAGTGACCACAATCGGCACAATGCCGGCTTCGGTGTGATGACGATTGTTGGCATGCGCAGGACACCCCCCAGGGTGTGTCCTTTGCAGAGGATCAGGAGAGAGACTAGGCACACAGACAACTCATCGTCAATCTCCAGGAAAAAATCTGGAACACACTTGAGAAGCACAGGTCAAGAACGTTGGAGACTGTCCGAAGTCCTGGGATCTGTGCCGATCGATGTTCGGCGAAGAGCGAGGGGGCAAGTGAGACGGAGGATGCCTTCTCACGAGGTGGCGCTGCTTCTCAGAAGCCTTCTGGCCACCTCAGAAGTTGTCTGTGTCTTCGGGGAAGGCTCAGGCACTCTTTTAGAAGGCCGGGGCCTCCCGAGCCTGCTGAGGAGACCCGTTCCTTCTCGCTTCACCCTGGGCGCGCCGCCGATACTCAGGAGGGGAAGAAACACACAGACACAATTAATCCTCGATTCTCAGAAAATATGGGAAAATATGGGCAGTGGGGGGGAAGACAAAAACCCAGAAAATATAGGAAAATATGGGGGATCGTTTTATTTGTGTGTATTTATTTGTGTGTCCTGGGGCCCCTTCACTCACTTGACCCTGGGCGCGCCGCCGATACCCCTGTGCCTCCCTGGGCCCCCACTGGAGGAGTGGCTGCCCCACCCGCCGTGGAGCCCCTTGGGCCAGCTGGCCCCCGTCGCGGGCGCCGCCCCCAGGCTCCCGCTCGCGGCTGGGAGCCGCCGCGCACACCTCCTGCCTGCCCTCGCGCTCTCCGCCTCCTTCCCCCCCCCCCGTTCCCTCGTCCCCGTCTCCCCCCCTCCTCCTCCTCCTCCTCCTCCTCCTCCTCCTCCTCCTCCTCCTCCTCCCCGTCCTCCTCCCCCTCCTCCTTCTCCTCCTCCTCCTTCTCCTCCTCCTCGTCCCCCTCCGTAGCCATTTTGGCTCAAGGCTATGAACCAACCCGACGACCGCGAGTCCCACGGGGCGGCTTCGGAGCGCGAGGGGGCTTCGCGCTTTGAGGCCAAACATTTTGGAAGTGATTGAGTGTGCAGCGGCGCGCGCGGCGGGCGGCATGGTGCGTCCTCCTCGCGGTGGCGGCGGCAACGCGTACGGCGGTGGCGGCGGCGCAGGCTCCCAGGCGAGCTCTTGCTGGCGCTGCCCGTTGTGCAACTACAAAAACTTGGGGTGGCGCGCGCAGCGTCGGCAGCCCGACTGCTGCGCGTACCGCCCTACGGCCGACCTGGTGCCTCGTCCTCGCGATGGTGGTGCTGTTGGCCGCCCTCACCTTGGTCGTTGGGAGGCGGGTGCGCCGCCTGGGGCCCCCTGACGTCGTCCCGAGCAGCAGGCTGGCAACGGGCAGGGGCAGCCAATGCCCAAGCCGAAACCCGCCTTGGGACAGCCGCCCAAGGTGTCCGAGGAGTCCCGCTCCCGCTTCGTCCGTTACTCCGACGAGGACCTGGCGCACGTCAAGGCGCTCATGTGCGAGAGCGACTGGCAGGCCATCCGCCTGCAGTGCTGTCTCCTCCAGCAACAGCTCGGCTCGCTGTCTGCGGTGAAGCCCGTCAGGAGCACGCAGGTGGCCGCCGACGAGGCCTCCAAGCGCCTGCAGCGGGCCCGCGGCGAGTTCGAACGCAAGAAGGAGGCAGCCCACGCGGCGCTGCAGGCGGCCTACGCGCAGGAGCAGCAGGCCGCCAAGTTGCAGGCGGAGCTGGACGAGCCCGTCGAGAAGGCCAGGCGCGCGATGGCGGATCCGCCGCTCGCAGCCGCGCAGGCCGACGATCCCTACAAAGCGGGCATCACCAAGTACACGACGATGGTGCGCTCTGTGGCAGACAGCCTCGGCGGGGTGGACCTTGGCGAGCTTGCGGGCTCGCTCACCGCCCCCATCGCCGCGCTCAACGGGGACGTGGCAGCCTGCGAGGCGTCGCTGGCTCAGCCTGTTGCAGCGCCTGCTCCAGCCGCCCCTGCCGTTGGAGCGCCACCTCAGGACGGTGCGGCGCCTCCTGCTACAGGCGCGGGCGGCGAGCACCTGGCGGCTGGGGACGAAGATGGGGGCGAGGCGAAGCTCAGCCTCACCCCTGAGGCCGTCGCGGCGGCCGCGGAGTCCTCCTGCGAGGGCGACGCCGAGAAACGCAAGTGGCTCGAAGGGTTTCGTGCGCACTGCCACGCTGGAGGCTCGGCAGAGAAGAAGGCGCGGGCGGGGTAGCAAGTGGAAGCTGGCTGCGCTCAACATGAACGCGTACTCGAACCTCGACAAGTGCCTCACGGCCCAGATTGATGTGAGCGACGCGGTGCTTTTCCAGGAGACCAGGCTCAGCGGGCCACGCACGACGGATGCTGAAGGGGGGCTTCGTCGACGGGGATGGCGTGCCGCGGGTGCTGCAGCGCAGACGTCTCAGGCTGGTGGCCTGGCGTCTGGAGGCCCCCTGACGTGCTCGCGGCTCGGGCACGGGTTGGCGCCGATGATTGGTTCGCAAGGCTCTGTCGTGCGACCTGGGCGAGTGCGCATGCTTCACCATGTGGGGTTTACTCCAGGCGGAGTCGTGTTGGCGAACGTGCACCTCGAGAGCGGCGCCGGGGTGGGCGGGTTGAACTTCGCGGCGCTCCGCGATGCGGCGCGCAGACTGAAGGGGCACGGCAGGTCGTGCGTCGCGGGCGGCGGCTTCAACTGCACAAAGGCCGAGCTTGCGCAGAGCGGGGCCCCGCGGCACTTCGACGGGGCGCGCGTGGAGACGCTCGAGCCGACCTGCGTGCAGCCGATGCGCTCCATCGACCGGTTCATCGCGTCGATCAGCCTGCGCGTACTCAGCGTGGAGGTGATCAGCGGATCGCCCGCGTGGCCGCGCAGGCCAGTGGTGCTGGGGCTGGAGGCCTCTCGCGGGAGGCCCTACATCCGCGTGATGGACTTGCCCAAGAGCCCCCCGCTGGCGCGACCTGCTGGCCGCGCGCGGCGGGCCCACGACGTGCCGTGGGCCAGCGTCGGCAAGGACGTGCAGCAGCTCCTGCGCATCGCGCCTCGGCAAGGTGCGTCGACGGCTCCAGAGGGCGGGCTTGCGGACGCTGCCCTCAATGGCGCTGCTCGCCAAACGAGCGACGCACCTCCTGGAGCTACGGGACCCGCGACTGCTGCCTGTGGCGCCTGCGCACATCGACCTGCGCCTGGGCCAGGCGGTGGCGCTGGAAGGGCTGCTGAGCGTGACAAACGGCAGAATCCCACATTGGCGACGCGCCCCCCAGGACGGCTCGTCGCGAAACCTGGATTCGGGCACCGTTGTTCCCAGAAAATCCCCGGCGACGGCGAGGCTACTGGACTTCGTGGGCCCCCTGCAAGTTCCCCCTGCGGGCGGAGAACGGTGCCGCCCCTTGGATGGGGGGGCGCGAACGGAGTGCAGTGGTTGACGTCGCCGTTGGGTGCCAGGTGCCTGACCTCAGTCGCGCAGACGCCGGGCATGACGCTACGGCTCGGGGAAGGAGGCCAGACGACGCAGTGGCAGGTGGTCCTGCGTGCGCTCGGAGCACCCCCGCCAGGTCGCATGGAGATGCAGGTGCAGGTCGCCCTCTTCTTCCGCGTGCGCCAGCTGAACTTGGTCAAGTTCGTCCCGGGATGGCTGGAGCAGGCGGCTCGCCTTCGCGCAGCGAGGACGTGAGCTACGACGGCGTGGGGCCGCATATGCAGGTCAGCCGCGACATCAACGAGGCGCGGCAACGCTTCCTCGAGCAGGCAGAGTCCGAGTGGATCGACATCTACCAGCTGAGCGCCGACGCCCAGAAGTACCATGGGCGTGGACAGCAACCGCAGCCTCGCTGGGTCCGTAAGCTGCCCGTCGCTGGCGCGCGCTGGCCGAGCGCCTCGGCGGAGGCCACCTGGCTGTGCAGGGCGTCGTGCGAGCTGCAGATCACCGCATGCGTCGGCAAGCCCCTCAGCCGTCAGCGATCTCTTCGAGGTTTGCGCAGGCTGATGGCGACCGCGCCCGAAGCTGCGAAGGGCGCGCCAGAGGCTGAGCCTCAGGATCTGCCCGTCGCGAGCACTTGGTGGCAGCTCCCCAACAGCTTGGGCGCCCACTGCCTGGGCCCCTCCACCGCGGTCCTGCAGCTGAGCGAGCGCGCCCGCGCCGACGCCGCGAAGCTGGCCGAGCAGGACATGGCGGAGCTCAAGGTCAGGTTCCAGCAGCGGGTCGCTAAACAAGCTGAGGGCGGCGGCGGCGGTCCCCTCGCCGCAGCTCGGCAGCCGATCGGCTTCGCGGAGGGCCCCATGCGGGACGCGAGCAACGCGGGGATGCAGGCGCCGTGCTGCGAGCCCGCCGACCTCGCTGCAGAGGCGACCGCCTTGGAGGTTGAGCGGGGCCGCTGGTGGAGGACCACTTGCGAGCAGGCGAAGGTCCAGTGGCCCTCGAACCTTGGCGCGCGGCCGCCCGGGCACGCGGCGCAGCAGCTGCGCAAGGTGTTCATGGCCTTCTCCGCCAACACTGGCACGTCGTTCTGCGCGGTGCGGCCCAGGCAGCTCGACGACCTCTGCGACGATGGCATCGAGGTGCTCGCAGACATCATCGAGGCCATCGGGTGGCACGCGACCTAGCCTGAGATGACCACCAAGGTCTGCTTCATCCAGAAAAAGCTCGGCGGCGTCAGGCCCATCGCCCTTATCATGGTGCTGGCCAGGGTGCAAGCTCGGCTGCGACGAGATCTTGCGCGAGATTTCGGGACAAGAACGCTCGCAGCTATTGGTGGGCTTCCGCTGGGCGCAGCTGCGAGAGGGCGGCCTGGCCCCAGGCCGCGATAGGCGAGTGGGCCACGCAGCGTGGCAAAGACTGCGGGGGCGAGGGCAGCTAGGTCGCGGTAGCCGACCTGCTGGACCTGCTGAAGGCCTTCGAGCAGGTCAGGCACCACTGGCTGGAGGCCGCTTGGCGCACGGGCTTCCCGTTGTGGCAGCTCAGGTTGCAGGTGGAGCTGTACTGCGCGCCGAGGGCGCTATCCTTAGGCAGCGCGCACTCGGACGTCATCGAGGCTCGGCAGGCGACCCTGCCTGGCGACGGCTTTGCCACCGCGCTGCTCAAGCTGATGCTGATCGGCCCCCTGGACAGGCTGGTGGGACAGAACCCGCGCTGCAGGTGGCCGTGGTTGTTAACGACCTCATGCTCCACAGATTCGGTGGCGCCACGAGGGTCACCAGGGAGGTCGCAGGCGCGGCCTTCGTGCGCAAGACGCTCATGCAGGAGGTCGGCCTCGCCGTGGCCGTTGCCAGGTCCCGCGCGCTCGCCAGCGCGCCCGACGTGAGGCGCGCCATCGCGGCGAGGCTGAAGCGGCCGCTCGGGGTAGTGCCGGTCAAAGGCAAGCGAACCTCGGCGTCGACATCTCGCGCGGCAGGAGGGTGGCGCGGAAGGTCCGCAGCGACAAGATGGTGCTCGCAGGGCTTCGGCTGAGGCGCGTGGCCATCCTGAAGACTGGCCGCGGGCGCAATTCAGCGGCCCGAAAGGTGGCGCGCAGCGGGCTCGAGGCCTCTGTCTCCTACGGCTTCTCTGTCACGGGCTGCGCCGCCGCGGAGCTCGACAAGCTGCGCGCGCCCATCTTCGCGGCGGCGGCGCCGAGTGTGGCCGGGAGGTCGCGCGCCATCACGCTCATGCCCGCGCCCTTCTTGGACCCGATCCACCGTGCTACGCTGGCCCCAGCGATGGCGATGCTGCGCGCGGCGTGGGGGCGCTAGGTGCCGCAGCACATGCTCGAGTGCGGGCTGGCCATGTGCGCGGCGGCAAGCTGGTGCCAGGTGAAGGGGCCCTTCTCGGCGGTCAGGCTCTCTCTCTCTCTCTCTCTCTCTCTCTCTCTCTCTCTCTCTCTCTCTCTCTCTCTCTCTCTCTCTCTCTCTCTCTCTCTCTCTCTCTCTCTCTCTCGAGCGAGTTGCTGCGCCTGCCTCGCGCACTGCGGCGACCGCATCCTCACATTCGAGACCTCGCCGTGGTTGGCCAAGCGCTTACTGTGGATGGCGGTGGAGGCGTGGCAGTGGCAGCAAGTTGGGCAGCGGCCTGGCCTTTCGCACCATTCTGCTGGAGGTGCGCTCGAGCCGCTCGTTCGGCTCACCAACGCTGGCGCTGCACATCGGAGAGAGGCATTTGGCCGCCAGGTGTGCTAATGTCGAAAAGGTTGCTGCAGCTGCTGCTGCCCGTCGGCCCGAAGTTCAACCTGCAGACGGTGGCGCTGGAAGGGCCGATGAGCGTGAAAAACAACATAATCCCACTTCGGCGACGCGCCCCCCAGGACGGCCCGTCGCGAAACCTGGATTCGGCCACTTTTGCTCCCAGAAAGACCCCGACGACGGCATTGCTATTGAACTTCGTGGGCCCCCGCAAGTTCTTCCTGCTGCAGCTGCTGCTGCCCGTCGGCCCGAAGTTCAACCCGGGGCCGAGGTGCAGTCCGTTTCTGAAGTGCAGACGGGCGCTGACGTTGCTGGGCCACCTGAAGAGCAGGGACTTCGTGATGCTGAGCGCTACCGCCTGGGCTCAAACTTTTCCAGTGCGCTCGGTCCTGGATACTTGATGGCAGCCGAGGCCAGCGCCACTTCTCTGCAGGCAGTGCGTGACGGAGTGAGCGACGAGTGGGGCGACATGATCAAAGAGCTGGTTGGCCAGGTCGCTCCTGACCCTCCACCCCGGCATGATCCAGATGACGGTGGCCCTCTGGGACTTGGCCTTCCTGACGGCGGTGCTGGCGCTGGTGCTCGCCCCGATGGCGCGCTTCATCGACCTGAGCCTGGTGGCGGTGCTGATCGTCCTGCAGTTGCCGTCAGCAGCCGCGGCCTGCCCGTCGCACCGACGGCGCGGCCCGCTGCTGCTGGCGACGTGGGTCGAGTTGCCACGTCGATCCGACTTGCGCCCAAGGAGCGCGGCTACCTGGCATCGGTCACTGCGGGCGGCCAGTGGTCGCAGACCCGCAAGTATGCCTGCGGCTACGCGGTGGGCGACAAGCGCTTGCTGCGCGGCGCCGTGGGCACGCTGCTGCACAGGCGCGCGCGCGCGCTGTGGAGGCTGGCCGCCAGAGCTGCAGTTGCCCAGCAAGATTGGCGAGCTCGCGGATAGGGGCGACCAGGTTGAGGCGGAGTGCCTGCTGGGGCGTGCGCTCTGGCCCGCGCCCAGGGGCATCGCCGAGCCCCCATCGGCCCTCCGAGCTCAGCTGGCTCGGGCAGGACGGCGGCGGGATGCTGCCCGCGGGCGACGCGCACCTGGGCGGCCCCGCCTACGAGGGCGATTCCCAGCAGTGCGCGAGCGTGGGCTGGGCGGCGATCGTGCTGCAGGAGAGCTCCGACGAGTTCCTGGCAGGCGCGTCGGGCGTCCTGTGCGAGCCTTTCGCGGGCATTGACGGCGGGGAGCTGGCGGCGCTGATTGCCGCGCTCCGCCGCGCCGCGCCGCCCGCCAGGACCATTGTGGACTCGAACTTCGCGTTCCTCGGCGTCGCCGAGCACGGCAGGGTGAGCGCGACCACGTGGGGCTACGCCCGGGCCCACCTCTGGCGCAAATGCTGGAGGCTCATCGAAGACTTCGGCGGTCTGGGGCCCAGCGGGCTCACGCTGAAGAAGGCGCCCGCCCACGTGGCCCGCAAGCGCGCGGTGGGCGGCGGCGGTGGCGCGGCCCGCGACTGGGTCGGCAGCGCCCTCGCGGGCGAGGCGGCTAAGAGCGCGGCCGAGCACGCGCGGATTGCGCCTGCGGACCCCCTGCGCCTGCGCTCGGCCAGCAGCCTGGTCGAGGGCGTCGCCGCGTGGATCTCTGCGGTAGGCGCGGCGCTGGGCGGCGACGGCGCGACCCGCCGCACGGCGGAGCCCAATGAGGTGGCGTCGAAGCCGGCGCTGAAGCAGGAGTCGGCGGCCAAGCTCAAGCGCGACCTGAGAGGCTCGCCAGGAGCGCGTTGGCGCGGCAGGTGCCGCTGGGTGGAGCGCGCCAGCGAGTGCCCTGGCACGATTGTGGCGGCCGCCCCCGACCACAATTGTGGCCTGCGCGAACGCGGCGAGCTGGCGCACGTGCTTGCG